TCCTTTAGAACTCTAGGGTGGAGATCATCCGGACCGGCTGACTTGAATATGTCCAGCCCCTCCAGAAGCTCCCTTACTAAGTCCTCGCTAACCCTTGGCCCAGGTGTGCCTCCCCTGGGGCCTGAAGGGGGCCCGGCTGGGAGGTTGCTGTTCTGGTCCCTACTTAGGAAGACGGAGGCAAAGAAATCATTAAACATGTTAGCTTTGTCATCTGGTGTGACGACCAAGTTTCCCAACGCATCCTGCACGGGCCCCACATTACCTGGGACCTTCATTTTACCCCCTATTTACAGGTAAATAGCACTCATTTAAAATTGATATCTGATTTCACTGAGCGCTCAGCCAGTTGTGCTATAGCGCTCAATGGAATCAGTGAGTTTTGGCAGGAAGAAGCAGTGGTGGCAGTGGCAACAAGTGAGGTGGGTGACAGCGAGTGGGGAGTGAGCGTGAGCATGGGGGGGGTGGGGAGAAGACAGGTACGGCTGGTGAATAGACTGGTGGGGTAGTGGAGCAGTCTGAATACAGACTGGTGGGGCATGGGGAGTGGGAGCAGTTTTGCAGCCACCCAGGAGCGGGGTGTGGTTTACAGCCGGTCAGGCAAGTAGTGGAGAGGCTGTAAACCCCCTGCTCTCAGCTGGCTGCAAACATCCACCCCACTCCTGTGAGATGCTCCACCACCTGAGCTTACCAGCTGAAGCAGCGGAGATGGTGAGGAGTGTGGGGCCTGCACTGGTGCCCAGGGCCAGTAGGGGCCAGCACCCAGGGTGGGACAGAAGGAGTGCAGGGCCCTGGGCCAGGGCCAGCAGGGGCCCATGCCCAGAGTGGGGCAGCAGGAGTGCCGGTGCCCAGGCTGACAGGTGGGGCCAAAATGGCCGGCAGGCAGCTGGGTGGGGAGAGGCAGTGGTGGTGAGAAGTGGTGAATGGGGGGGACAGGCATCAGCAGAGGGCCTTCGTTGGTGCCCACGGCCAGGTCCAGTGGGGCCCCAGAGCGGGGCAGCAGGAGTACAGGCCTGGGCTGGCACGTGGAATTGGAGCAGCCAGCAGGCTGGTGGGGAGAGGTGGGAGTAACCAATTACGTATATTTACATTCATTCCTATGGGCAAATGGGTTTTGCTTAGCGCTCAGTTTTTCTGGAACAAATTAAAAGTGCTAAGCGGGGGTTGCCTGTGTAAGTAGAGCCCATAATTACAGTTAAAGTGTCAGGATTAGCTAGTCACTGCTGCCATCATCCTCTTCTTGATGACTATGGCCAAGACTTTAAAGGATTTGGTGTCAAAATATAGTGCCTTAGGTCAAATTTCAAAATCTAAATAAAAGGTTCGATTTTTAAATATGCTAAAATAAACAGAGGCTCCTATTAAATGATGGAGTTAGAAATGAGCAACGTTTAAAAAAAAAAAAAAAAAAAAAAAGCCTACCCTCAAGCAGCTGTTTGAGGTCCAGAGAACGAGAGTAGCAGAGGTGGTAACACATCTTCGTAACATCTTATGAAAATGTGTTACCACCCCTTTCCTGTAGAAAAGCATTTACTGTAGAAAAGGAACTATGACCTCTTTATAACATAAAGGGGCTCTCTAAGCACTATGAAGGCCTTGGTCAGCAAGGAAGAAAAAATTCAAAAGAGCATGTTCCAGTTTTGGCATCACTTCAGCCTACCTGGTCCTGAGACATTTAGATTACTGAAGGCTGCTCCTCACCACTTGCTGCCAAGGCTGAGGAGAGGATGCAGTCTGAATTACATCAGAGCACCACACAGAGACTGAGAGGGCTAGCAAGAGAGATAGAGACCTCTGGTCAGATTGGGTTGCGTTACCGCAACATAAGATGTGGACGTTCTTGTCTTCCCTCTTAGCCACCTCTGGTTTAATACCCATTTTTTATAATGCTTAAGTGGAAAATCTAGACCAAACTAGGCTGAAGTAAAATTAAACTAGGGAAAAAAATTAGAAAGCAAGGCAGAAAGCTCAAGACACTTAGTTTCTACTTGAGGAGGAAGAGTGCAATGGGAGAAACTGATAGACAACTGGACTGGCTCAAAAACTCAAAAAAATCTATCAATATTACAAGACACTCGTGTCTGTTCAAGTGCAATGTAAGCAAAAACCTATCCACGTGTAGACGGACCTCATCTACTCCAAGCCACACTCACCAGGAGTTCAAAGTATGCAAAAAATATAACAGCCCCAATCTTAGGGAAGTTTAAAATTATATTAATTTTAATATTATATTATGAACTGCCTTACCTCCTTTAGAAGAGAACATGCCAGCATCAAAATGTCTTTTAAAGAAGTGTCACGAAATGAGGTAGCTATTTTACGATGCTTGGCTGAAGGTCTCGAATAATCCACCTAAGGGGTGGGGGTGTGTGGAAAAAGAGTACAAGAATAAACAAGTCTTTCTTCCTCTAGGATTAGTTTACAGGCACTTCTGCCTAACAATTTACTACATATGGGCTGCTTGCAGATGTGGGAGGTAAAAAAAAGAGTGCTTTACTTTAAACTTGGCATGTACCCATGCTGAGCCCACCGCATGCTCAAAAAAGGCAGTGTGTCAGCTGGACCCAGCTTTCCCAACATCTGTATAGATTGGGTGCTTTAGTGAGGCTTTTATGATGATTTAATCTAATAGCTTATTGAATCAGCTTTAGATAAAAGTGCCAAAAAGTCCTGCTAAAGCGCCCAATCTATACAGACACTGGAGCCACCACAAAGTAACACGCTACTGCTTCTGATAAACGAGTTTTTGGGTTTTGGTTTTTTTCCCCCCACATCTGTCAGCACCCATGAAGACTATGGTCTGCTACTGCCTACTTTGTCTTAAAAGCAATAGCTACCTCTGTACCAGTGGTTCTCAAACTTTTTACACTCAAGGCACCACTTGAAAAATGCCAGCTTTTAAAAATAATACAGCAATTCTTCTGAGGCAAAAACCTCAGAAAGACCACAACAGGTCAGAATGTTTTTGACACTATAGATTGCTATCTGCAAATGTCTGGGTTTAATCTTGTGAATCATATGTAGGTGTTTGAACAGCTAGCAGTGCTAATTTTGTGTGGCATCTTACTTCCCTTCTAAAAGGATCTCATAGCACCGAAAGTTACTGCAGCACTCTGGTTGAGAATCACTGCCTTGTGACCTCTTTTCCATTGTTCTTAGCCTATTTTTCCTATACTCTAACTCTGGTTTCTGCAAAGCCCCACTAATGCCACTGACCTGATAGCTCCACTAGAAAGAAGTGGGGAGATGGATTGCTGCTGCTTTGATAAATAGCTTTGTAAAGGATCCTGCATTTCTGTGATCTGTCAGGAGGAGAGCTGGGCTGCACTTTGATTATTCCTGCTTTAACCTTGTAATAAATTGAGCCAAGTCACTTCTCCTTTGGTTTTTTAATATTTTTATTTCTGTCACCATGCTGTTTCCAACCTGACCAGTGCCATGACACTGAGCCATGAAAGAGTAACAATTCAGCCTTCAGGATAATTCTCCACTGATTTTATGTACATGAACTGCAGAGGTCAGGAGGGCGAGAGAGCAAGCAAGAGTGAGCAAGAGCACGCATGTGCAAAAAGCTCAGGAAAACAGAATTTGAAAGGCATTTACATGTGATTGGTGTTAAAGAAACACACAGTTTGATATTTGCTTGCCTTCTTAGAGACCATCCCTTAAGGTAAATATTGAAGGACATTGGTAAGCCTGTGTAAGGAATCTGGCAATGTCCATGCTTTATATGTTTTGTCAATAAATAAATGGTCATGGGCCCTCAAGCTAATAGGCTGCAAGTTCCAAAGGAGCTCTGATAGAAAAAAACAGTCCACAAGTCTTCTTCCCACCTACAGTGTGGGGTGTGTAGCCAAATTCAATTATATTTTTCCTTTCAGTTTAATTAAATATTTACACGACTTATCTTGCTGGCTTCATCTAGAATCAGTTAAGAAGATTCTTTTATTCTTTGCAGCTTCAAAGACTTAAAAGCAGGAAAGGACAAAAGGCAAAAATTAACCTTTTACTGTACATGTCAGACTGACACGTTTAATTTTTGAGGACTAATAGTATATATCATTGGGGCCAACCTTTTTGGCAGGCATACCACAAATTATCTGTACCCCAAGTGCCACTCAGATCCCTTTCTGCTACCTACCCTATCCGTCACTGTGTTACCTGTTCCCTCCCCAATCTGCCACATGCCACACAGAGGCTGTTCATGCCGCTTGTAGCACATGTGCCATGGGATGGCCTTCCCTGGTATTTACAGTATTATTAATCATTTTTCTGGAAGTGTCCCAATACAGTAGGTCTCACCACATCTCACTGTCTTTGGGTTACAAAGGATTATAAAACCCAGGCTACAGCTAAAAGTCAGGTGTAATGTTGAGTAATGGACAAGTCATAAGACATTTTAAAAGAACAGTGACTGATAGGGCTGGTGGATCTTTATTCAGGGTACTATCTTATAACATGAAACATTTTTCTCTCCTATACAGCACTAAGATACAGCTTTTTTTTCCCCCAAGTACCATTGCCCTTTCCCCAGTGTAGAACTTTTTCCAGGGGAAGGAGATTTTTGAGAAGCTTGCTGAAGATAGGAAGGGAACAAAAAGAAGCACTAGTGAAGAGATGGGATGGAGTGAGCTGCTCTTTCTCTTTCCAGATTACAAATAAGCTATAGTAAATCTGGGATAGACACAGTTTCCCCCTTCTTGGGGATCTACAGTCAGGTCAGGATAAACCTATTATGAAATTTAATCTCCTAAATACTTAGGGTGGTTAAAACATAAAAGCCTTCATCCCAAGTCTTACTTATTCAAATCACTTTTGTGGTAGGGCAAGAACACACTATCATACTTTACCAGCATTACACAAAAGCTCTTGCAAAAGGGAAAAAATTGTGTACTTACTAGGTTCATTTCCTGAGTTAGTTCTGAGAGAATCATCACTCCAATTATATAATGATCCACAGTACCCTACAGAAGAAAAAGGAAGAAAACATGTACAAAGCATTTGATCAAAAACCTAGATATGCTCTATAACATAGTCATATGCCATGACTGTCATATGAAACAGTGG